TTGGTTAGATGGAGCTTCTTCTTATAATTGGCTCTCTCTTTAGTTTGTTGTAGATATGAGGAGATTTTGTACGGAGCTTATCAGCTCTTTGAATTTGAACCTCTCTTATTGGTTCGTTTCAAGTAATCAAATTAATCTTTATTTGATTTGAAATCAGCAAACCCACATAATTGAAGACTTCTTTATCTCCAAGTCGTACTAACTCTTGGTCTACCTCATCAGTTTTAACTTTTTGTTTACCTCACTATGAATTACCTTATCACAATGTATTGTGTATGTTTCGTTTTCTCGGATGAAACCGAATATTGTGTTGATATTTGCATATATAAATGTATGTTAAGAAAATTACATCAATTAAACTAAGGTACGGTACCAAAAAAAAAAAAAAAAACCTCACCTGTATATAAAAGGGGTAATTACAATGATCTTCTCTGAAGTTTCGTCATTATACATTAACCTCCCTTCTTGTTTGTCAAATAATATTGACCTCCTTCGAAATTTATATACTGATAACACGGACCTCCCTGCCGTTACAATTAACTGCGTTTGTAACATAGATGTGCAAGTTGTGTTTAAACTAGGTACAATTTCATTTCACATGAACTATTATTGTATAAAATAGTACTCAGAAACAGTACTCTGAAACTTCCTCTGCTGACATATATAGCATTTGGCTTTCCCTATTTTAACCCTGGTCAGCATAATTAGAAAACAAAGAGTACTGAACTCTTTCAAGTTTCAACAAACTTCCATGAGATGATATAAAAAACAATCTCCTCTAGCCGTTTCCAGCCATTCCTATTTTCTGTCATGTCACATGAATACTATTACTTGCAAAATCTTTGCCATTTCCATATCTGAACTTATTCTGTACCCTTCTCTTCAATTTGACAAGGCATATTGTGAAAAGGAGTAAAGGAAAAGAAGTTACATTGGACAGACAAACAATTTTCTTTGATTTTCATCCACTACCCTATTCCTTTGAATGGTTGAGACATCTCAATAGGATCATAAAATCTCAATTTCACATTAGTAATTCTTCCAAGTGACAATTTTATAAAGCATAAATCAATTTTTACGTTACGCTACAGTTGTATTGCGATCTGGACGAATTTGAAACATGATATAAAGTTACAATTTTTTTCGTAAGTAAAGGTAAGATTGGGCACAACTGATAGAAATCATGTGCACTGGACTAACCTGTTATCAACTAAATGAGTTAAGCATAAATTAGTTTACACATTACACTAAGGTGGTTGTATTGTGACCTAAATGACTTTGAAACAAGATACTGACTTACAAAATGTTACCTTTCCGTAAGTGAAGATAAGACTGCGTACAAGTGACAAAGTCCCAATAGACTAGCTCATTATCGACTGAGTAATTAAATGACTAAACCATATGTATCGATTTTAATAATCTTGATTTTCTAGATGGAATTTATATGTTGTTAGTGATATCTCTGCTCAGATTTATATGATTTTCAGTTGGTTTAAATGCTTTTGTATGCCTGTCCTTTATTATGATGTGCTCATCCAGGAGAGTACTATTTGCAATTATCTTCAATTCATGACTTAAGCCAGAATCCAATGTGGTCTGAATTATTGAAATTATTACTGACTTCTCTGATCATTCAAAAAAAAAAAATCATCTTTTTCTTTTAAGTATTTGGTCAAATTTTACCGAAGTTTTAGTGAAATATTTTAATTAATCACAAAATTTTCAGTCAAGGTTCAATTTTCATCAAATTTGAGTATTCAAGCAGAATGTCCTAAATATCCTTCTGTTCTAAAACTTGCTATTGAGATTTATTTTCTTTTTATCACTTTTTTTTTTTTTTGACAGGCCTTAACAAAGTTTTAACGAATTTCGTATAATCACCCAAAATTTCATCCAATTCCTTGGAGAAATTAAATTGGATATATTTTACTTCTTTTTTTTTTTTTTAATTAACAACAAGAATTGAAAACCTCTTAACCTCGTCTCTTTAAGTTGTTATGTCATCTCTAAAAACACATTGATACAAGAGTATTTGAATTCTTAATGTCTTGAATTATTTGAGAGAGGCTAAAAAAATTTATTTGAGTAAAATTCAGAAATTTATTTGATGTGTCTGATTGTATGGTTAAATTATTATTGATGTTGTCTATTATATTATATTTTTTGTTTTGGGGCCTTAATCGCATCGGAATTGTTTCCATAATCATCAAATGTATAAAAGGTGAGGGGACATAATGTGTTTGTGATGAATTGTAAAATGTTCTAAGAAATTTGACACCACCAAAAAAAACAATGTTATACAATAAATATCCAAAAATAACAAGTTTCAATTGGAATTTTGAAAATTGAGGATTGACCCAATAATTCATGTCGTTATATTAATTGAAATGTTTGGTTAAAAATTATAGAATTTCAAAAAATCTTTAGTTAATAAGGTTATGATTGTAACTTGTAAGTCCATGAATTCAAATTTGGTTGTAGACTTCAATTTGTCCAAAAAAAAATCCATCAAAGTTTTGTACCGCAGCATTCATGTTTATGTCGATACCATCGAAATTAAATAAAATTGTACATGTACTTATGTCATATGTTTCCACTTTTTGTTTAGCTCTTTAAAACACAAAAGGTATTATTACAATTGGTCTTATTATTTTCAACGGCATTTGGAACTTTGCACATCAATAGAGCTATATGTATCACTGATGAGCACGTAATTGTACACTGCGTACATGTAGGAATGGGCTACGCCCCGTAACTCTCTGATTTAATGTCCGGGAACTATTCAAGCTCGGATCATCTTGTGTGTCGTTTTCATTCCAAATTTGTCACATGTCTTTACGTTGCTCATTAAATAACTTTATATCGGTTACGCAACAAATGCATTATATTTTTATTTTATGGTGTTACATTTCATTAGCGATACATGATGAGTACATTGGATCTCCTACAAGGTATCCGAGTTCTTGATTATAAGAAAATACTACGACGAGGGTGCTCTCATGTGAGCTAGTGTCTTCATTTTGTCAATCAAACTAAAGAACAAGAGTCCTATAACCATTGGCTTGCTTACACAGCCCGAATTCTCTATTGCGGAGAAGAATAGAGATCATTTCACATGAGATGAGATGCACTCCGTTTATCGAAACCACACCTCATGTGAGATGATCTGTACCCTTTTCTCATGCTAACACCTTATTGTAGATAGGATAAGATCCTAATTCCCTGCATTGTGCCACCCCCAAATTTTTTTTAACATTAGATGATACTCAGTGGAACTCTCATCCACTAAAGAACTTGCCAAAAGATTAAATGTTGTCACAAACCTGAGGTATAGTATTGGGGAATATTTTATAAAGGAGTATATATTATGTGAAGAATGGGCAACAATGTGAGATTTACATAAGGGGTAATCATTGTATCATTCCATAATTATTGGGTAGGCTCTCTCTCTCACACACACACGCATGAATCATGACCTCTTTCTCTCTCTCACACACACGCGCATGAATCATGATCACTGAGAAATTATGCTGATTTACATCAAAGTATACCAACCTTAAAAGGCAGAAAGAAACACAATTACAAAAATAGAAGAGGTTTCACATATCCTTAGTAAATTACTCAAATTCAATTTCACCCTTCACCTTTTTTTCCTTATACTAATTATTTTCTATTGAATCAGGAAGCACATTCTGGTTTAATACACGACTTTAGCCCCACCAAATACTGCTAAAGGGCCACTTAATATGATTTTCGAAGAACATGAAGTAAAAATATGACAGAAATTCAAAAGCTGTAGGACTGTTTGGTTTATTTTTCTTTTATTTTTTCAGAAACTTGAAGAGATTAGAGCAGAACAACTCCATAACAGCATAGAAGGGTTTTGCCTAGAATCCAAACAATATCTAGTTTTTTTTTGGCTAAAGATATTCCTAGTTAGGACTCGATAGAGGAATCAATTGACCTCTCCCTTGGAAAAACAATCGAGAAAGAAACATTATCCTTACTCATCCCAGGATTTGTAATGCTGCGACAATGATTCTGACCAGATTAGTCGACCAGAGTCGCCAACTTGACCAACCCGAGATTTTTTTAAGCATAAGAAATAGAAGACATTACGAAAAATACCTTGGTTTGACAATTTTCTGAAAACCGAGTTATATATATTTCTTTTTAAATTTTAATCTTTTATAGTTGTCCAGAAACTGTTTTCGGTTGTTCTCCAAGAACCAGGCCATATATAACACAAATGTCACATTCGAGGCATCATAGTCTAAGACAACATCAAGTCTTGATAACACATGGCAATAACCATTTAGGGGCCGTTACTTGGTGCAATTGTAAAAAGAGTTCGAAACGTGCAACCACAGTTCACATAGAAATGAAACATTATTCTGAATTGCAGAGCAGCAAATTGCCTACACATACAAATATTGCACAAAAGTGACATGCCCTTTGCAGGTTGAAAATGGTTCTACAATAGAACAGTTAGAACTTCTACATTTGGTTTCTACATTTTTACCCATTTGAGGACAGAAAATGATCAGGAAACTACAAATGATAACCTAGGGAAATAGTAATATATAATATTAGGTGCAAAAACTTTTGCCTAGTGAATCTCATTAAATAAAAGACATAGTATTATGTGTCCTATAATAAGAATTGCACACCAAGTCTTTTGTCCAATTACCTATATAAGATTCTTCAAATAGATGGAACATTCAAATTTAGACATAAACAACAGTTCTCATAAGTTGGCAATTTCTTTAATCATACTGTATACTTTAGCACAATGTCTGGTACCTCAAAAGACTACCAAATTTGATTTTTCCTCTTCTATAACGACTCGATTACAACTTTTAACAATTGTATACTTTAGCACAATGTATGCTACCTTAAAAGAACTACTAATTTGATTTTTCCTCTTCTATAATGACGCAGCTCATACGTTTAAGTTACCGGGAAAAAAATTTATATTTTTGATGGCGAAGGTGGAGAAGGAGAGTATTGAAAACCTAAACATCTACATTAGGTCATTGAACTAGGGTGGTACCCTTTCAACAAGGTCAAACCATGTAACAAAAGTCTTTGTAGAACAACCACCAAAATCCCACAGGCGACAATCTATTCCTGTCTTCAAGACATCAGTATCTTCCAATTTAATATAAAACAGTTAACAAGCAAGATGTCCAATGCCAACCTGTCCTATATTGAAAAACTCTCCCAATTCATCAATAGCTCCATGTGAAAAAACCACTGAAGAATTGGCACCCCCCAATTCCATCTCTCTTTTCTATATCCACCTAATGGTGTCATTGAGCATATGATATGTCAAGCAATAAAAAAAAAAAAAAAAAGAGTATAATGTACTGATCTACATATGAATAGGATGTCGTAAGTCAAACTAGTTTGATCTGAAAATGCTGGACAGGGAGGCATTGTATATGCAACGCAAGGAAAATTCAACTCAATTCTCTTCTCACCCACCACCCTAAATATATAAGCAGTGGAGGGAATGTTTCGCATCTGTCTGCTACACACAGCTTAGGCCAGAATTACAGTGATATATCATGGAATGCATATAGTTGCACCTTAAGAACATCTACTGCAATTAATATGCAAAAGAGAGTATGTATAATACCATGGCCAAAAATAGTAGATAATAGAGTAAGAAAGATCAACCGCGCCCCCCAAATACACCTACAGACACAGGGTTCAGTTGAGCCAACCACATCTGCTGATCCTGGTTTCTGCTCTTCTTGAACAGCCGTTTGGGCGATGACGAAACTGATGATGCTACATCCCACGAATCATTTGAGCTGTCGCAGCTGAAATATGCATCGATGACACCATTTGGGCTGCCTGGTGCAGACTGATACTTGCGTTTGTGAGTTTGGTATTGCTTATAAGAACCATGGTTGCCTGATAGTTCCAGTATGAGTTTATAGCAGTCATCCACTTTGTCCTGTTTAAGAATTGGTTCAATAATTGAAGTGTTGAACAATGTAATGCCAAATTCAAATTCAAATTCAATCTTATTGTTTAAGAAAAGAGAAGCGTACATAAATAAAATACAGACCTTGTTGATTTTGAGAACACCCATAAGCTGATTTTGGTAGTCCAATGCATTACAAGGCTCAAACTCTTCAATAACATGTAACATTGTCACAGTAGCCAACTCAGATGGAAGATAACTCAGACACCTTGCATCTGAATCAAAATATTAAATGTTCAAGATGAGATGATTTATCAAATGGGATGACACAATATAAGATTTCCAAATCCTATTCTTGTTCTTTTGGTCTTATACATACCCATTTATAGAAATTGGGAATCAATAGCTGTTTAATTTTAATCTGCTTACCAGTGCTGACAGAGAGAATGAGGCGCTCACACCTCCATAAGAACTCGAAATGCAAATGGGTTTTCAGTCCAAGCCTCCTTACAATGTGATCAAAGAATGAAAGTGGGGTCACAGGATTCATCTTCCATTGAAGAGCAGAGAGCACCAGAAGCTCCTTTCTCTGAATGGTCTTTGCTTCAAACACATACTTTGATCCCTCCACCTAAAGACAATACCAAAACCCACATCAAAGACAATAAACAGCCCAAAAAAACAAAATAAGACATTTTCACAAACACCCACATTGCATATAAAAACAATACACATAACACAACACATACTTGCAGGTTTAGAAGAGGCGGCACTTGGGTCTCCTCAACTTTGGCAGCTAAAGACAAACAAGCAACAGCAGCTAATTGACTCATCCATGGCTTGTCTCTTTGGAAGCAAAAGCTTGATTTGAACCTATCGAAGTAATCAACAGCTAAAACGGTGGTCAAAGCAGTGAAACCAAAATGGGCATTGACCCTTAAAATCCACTCAACAGCCTCTCTTCTTGCCACCATTACAGATCCATCTGAGCCCAAATCACTCTCACCCAAATGGGTATTTTTCTCTTTGGAGAGCAGGGACACAAGGTCATCATCTTACCAATACAGGTCATAATTGATTTTGATTTTGAAATATAAGTTTAGTAACGGTCATAATTGGGTGAAAGTGGCATACCCATACATATATATAAGGGAGTAGACAGTTTAGTGGGCATTTCATAACCTGAGTACTTTTTGTGAAGATTGTATGTCTGAGAATTTTCTTTATTTTTGAATTTGAAAAATAAGTTTAGTAACGGTCATAATTGGGTGAAAGTGGCGTACCCATACATATATATATAAGGAAGTAGATACTTTATTGAGCATTTCATAACCTGAGCACTTCTTGTGAAGATATGATGCCTGAGAATTTTACAGAGATGGAGAGAGAGAGAGAGAGAGAGAGAGAGAGAGGTTAGTATATGCACGTGCATGATAATTAGAGAGTTTATGATCTTAAGGATAGATGAAATGAACTTGAGGGTCAGAATAGAAGATACAATTTGCGATAAATGCTTGATATCCTGTAATTTCGACCTCGACCCACAACTTTTGTTAGATGAAAATGATGGACTTGATCTTGAAGCTCCGACGGTGCCTTCTGGCGGTGCCTTCTGATGTTCCAGTGTTGGCTTCCGATGGCTATGATCATGAAGATTTTCCAGTGTTGGCTTCCGATGAATATGAGGAACTCGATAGTGATGAAGCAAATATCTGGAGAATTGTTACAATAGAAGAAGGTATTCATGAACTTGATTTTGAAGCTCCGCCGGTGCCTTCTGATGTTCCAGTGTTGGCTTCCGATGGCACCCGTTTCTTGGAGTCCGGCAGATTGGGTGAATTAGAAGAACATTTTGGCAGACATGAATGTGAGTTGTGTTCACAGACATTCATACTCCTCCTTCATGGCACTGGGTCTGCACCTTTCTTGTGCAGTCGCTGTTACATAACGTGTCGCAACGCGGAGTTACATGAAGAGTTAATGGGATTTGGTGGGTCAGATCATGAAGAAGATGGGATTGCGATAAATGACGAGGATGCTGATATGGAGGATGTTGGGTCAGACCAAGAAGAAGGGACTGCTAATACATCTCGCCATTAGTCACTGTTGGTGTCTTCGCCCATATGAATTAAGCAACTCACCCACCCTCTCGCGAACTCCTCTATGGCAATTCTCGTGCCCTTGTTGGTCTGTTCCAGCCATCTTTCTTGGTATTTCCTATTGAGTCTTTGCTATTCCGTTTTGCTGCCTTGACTATGCCCATCTATGGGTACGTTTTGAAGCCTTTCTCTCTGCTCTTAAAATACTAAAAAAAATAAAATTCAGTGGAGGCAATTGGCCCCATAGATAAGATTCCAAAGTTAACTATTCCAGAACCTGAAATCTTTAAACCGTTTGAACTTGTTAAAGATATGATCAGAAAACAACAACCATTAATTACCGAAGCTGATTTAATGGTTAAATGCATGGATTTTATGAGGAATAAATTTGTTAAATCTTTTGAATCCTCTACCCCTACAGTAAGAGATGATACATCCATGGTATCAGTCTCTAGCCAGACCAGTCAAGACGGAAATCAGTTTTCTTGTCTAACAGGTTATGCACAAGATCCCAATGAAGATCTTAATTCAGAAGACGAGATTTCAATAGCCGACTATTGGGACTGTCTCACAGGACATTTGAAGGACAAGATGAATCCACCCAAAAAGTAAAGATTCCTCTTATCCTGCCGACAGAAGAAGACAAAGAACTTTTCCAAAAAAGTCTTTGATTCAACAGTATTTCCTTCATCAGATGTCTACTTTCCATCAGATAAGGAGACAGCACTTAGTGATGGGCCGACCGACTGCATTATTCGAGCACACAACCCCATGCACTATGCGGACTTCAAAGTATTAATTTCAAGTCCATTTTATGTATAAATAGAGGGCAATGTTTCCCATCAATGTATCTTCCAATTTTCTTTTCTCTCTTTTGTAATATTTCTCTGTACTAGCTTGGATAATAATAAAGAAAGTTTTCTGTAAGTCTGTTCAACCCTTGTATTTATATTGATCGATCCCTTTTGCAGATATTAATATTTGCTATTTGATAGTTGATATTTGCATTGTCTTTTTGGTATCAGAGCCATGATGGCTTAAATTCTTATTGTTAATACTTTTTAGGTTCTGGTAGCATGATTATTATCGTCATTATATACTGAACAATATGAATATTATTCTGTCCGCATTATGTTTATCCCAGATTCAATTATGGGTCGTCCAAAAGTCGCGTTGGAATGTTTAACCCGTTTTTGCATTAAATTGCTACCAAGGGTATTGTTTCCAGTAAATCGTTGACAGACGAGTAATAGAATCTCTCTTAAGCAGAACGACGACAGAATAGTAACTTACTGTTCACTATATAATATTATAAAATTTATACTGCTCAGACCTTAAAGTATTAACAATAATTAACAGCCATGTTACAACCATCTTCGTCCTCCTCTTCAGGACTACAGGATAACCAGGATTCAGAACTGGTAAAAAATACTGAAGTAGTGGAATGGACCAATGTTCAAAATCAATTGAACAAATGGACTATCCCTCCAGTAAGTGCTAAAAGCATTTACAAAATCGGAATGCTTAATTTAGCTGATCTATGGACTATTAAGACCATGGAACAGACCATGCAATTAAGCACTAAGGATACAATAATTAAATTATTGTCTTCCCGTGACCTTCAGAGGCACATGCATAAATATAAGTACATCCATATAGGTTTAATTCAAATTGCTTTTAAACCTTTAACCTTGTTAGGTATGGATGCTTGTATTCAAGCAACCCTAAGGGATGCTCGATGTCTGAAATTTCACCCTTCTTTGATGGGTGCACTGGAAACCAGTCTATGTCATGGACCGGTTTATTTTGATGTCTATCCTAGTCTGAATTTATCTTTAACAGATAGAAACATCCATGAGGCAGTAAGTCTTAGAGTACAGACTTATGGATATGATTACTTACCTGGATCGGAAGTGATAAGTGTGATTTATCGCATCCATTACAAAGTACTTGATACTATGTGTCCTAAGGCCATACGCAAAGACTCTAAAGGAGTAACAGCGTTATGGGACACTAACATGTACACATCCAATGTTGCCACAAAAAGGATGATACCTTGGAGTGAGATAACATTTCCTGAACACTGGACGATTTCTAATGCCGTCCCAGCACAGCCAATTGCTAATCATAGCTTAGACTGTGTTATTCAGGACCAAGATGGTGATGTTTTTCTAAATTTCAGAAAATCCATAGATCTATCCAGATCTGCATCATCTAAAGGAAGTCATCTTCCTTATCGTGTTTCTTGTCCTCCTTCTCGACATTCGATTTCATCAGATTATCGTAAGGAAGGACTCCCTGAAGCAGTTGATTCCAAGCTCAAGCTGAAAGGAATACAACAATCCCCGAATCAGATTCCAAGAGGAGTTTACGAGAAGGCACCCATAGGTATGTCTCGTCGCCAATTTGGAATTGAATTCAGCCCAACTCCATCTGAAATGGGAATCAGAAACGAATCTGTCAAGGATCAGTTTGAAGATCCCACAGACATCAATGACCCTCATGAATATTAGTTTTAATGGATTTTGTCCCTGATAGAATTGCCATTAATACTGAATTTCAACAGGATCAATATAAAGAATTCAGAAATTGGTATTTCAAAAGTTTTGATCAAAATCATGAGCACTGGAAAGCCAAATTTGTAGATGGTTTACCAACCTTATTTGCTGAAAGAATCCGGAAAAAGCTTAGAGATATGAATAATGGTATCTCTATCCCTTACAGAAACTATACCTATGGTGGATTAGTCAATATTGTAATCCAAGAAGGTCTAGCTCTCTGTAATGATCTGAAGTTACAATCCCAACTAAAATCCCAAAGATTAACTGGTCGAAAGGAAGTAGGTGAATTTTGTGATCAATTTGCCTACCAGACTCCCTTATCTTATCCTAAACCTAGGAAAAGAAATAAGGTTGAAAAACCTTATAAAAGGAAGTATTCCAGAAGAAAGAATTATTCAAAGGAAAAGGATAATTCTAGACAGTATACTAAGCCTAAAAGGAAATATACTCCTAAAGCAAAGGGTAAAGGAAAGCCCAAAGCTGAGGCTAAATGTTTCAAATGTGGACGTATTGGCCACTATGCAAACAAATGCAGAACTAAGGAGAAACTCAGTAGTCTTCACATAGAAGAGGAACTGAGACTTCAATTAAGTAAATTGTTACTTAATACTAGTTCTTCTGAACCAGAATCATCAAGTGATTACGGAGATGTTGTCATGGAATTACAGTCTTCTTCTTCCTCTGAAGCAGAAATTGAAAATCCTAGATGTTCCTGTAATCCTTCGCATGATGATTATTATAAGGCAATTGTTGAGATGAATGGGTTAAGCTTAAATGTTTTGACTTCGACTCAACAATCCTTATTGGATCTTATAGATCATATCCAGGATCCTCAAATCAAGATGAAAGTCTTTGAAATAGGTTCTGCTCTGGCAAGATCTAATGAGGATACGGATAATCCAGATTTTCTGCGAGCAGATAATCATTACAGCATGAAAGAAGTTATAAGCAGATTAGAACACCAAGGACAAAACTCTCGTCCTGCTAATCTCCCTGATCTTAAAATGGAGATTAATCTTTTAAAAGAAGAAATTCGTCAATTAAAGTCTCGTCAGACTACGATGGATTTGGAGATTACTCTTTTAAAAGCAAAATCTGCAATTCCAACTTCATCATCCAATGATGAAGTTCCTCAATCAGAAGGCACTAATTATCTTCAACTCCTGAATCAAGTTACTTACCAAAAATGGTATATATCTATCAATTTGGTGATTAATCAGGAGTACACAATCACTAATGCAATTGCCTTAGTTGATAGTGGTGCAGACATGAACTGCATACAGGAAGGATTGGTTCCTACTCAATATTTTGAGAAAACCACTCAAGGTCTTACCAGTGCAAGTGGTGGTAAGATGCAGATTAAGTATAAACTTAATCATGTTTTCATTTGTAAAGAAGGTATTTGTCTGCCATCTACTTTCTTACTCATCAGAAACATGGCACAACAAGTTATTTTGGGCACTCCCTTTTTAGCTTTGATTATGCCAATTGGGAAAATTGATTCTCATGGGATATGCTCTACTTTACATGGCCAGTCAATTACTTTCCAGTTCTTGACCCCACCCGTAAATAAGCATATCAATGCTCTTAAAGATAACATTATCTTTAAGGAAAAGCAACTGAATTATTTGCAAAAGGAGGTATCCTCCTTAGCAATTAATCAAAGATTGGTACAACCCACTGAGCAACAGAAAATTGAATCACTACGGCAACACTTTCTAAAGGAAATCTGTAGTGAGATTCCTAATGCTTTTTGGGCCAGAAAGAAGCATATTGTTTCTTTACCCTATGAAAAGGGGTTTACCGATAGCATGATTCCTTCTAAAGCTAGTCCCAGCCACATGAAGGCTGACTACTTGGAATTATGTAAAACTGAAATCAGCTCTTTAATGGCTAAGAAGCTTGTCACTACTAGCTACTCCCCCTGGAGTTGCAGGGCTTTTTATGTCAATAAAAAAGCTGAAAAAGAACGAGGAATTCCTCGATTGGTTATTGATTATCGACCACTTAATCTTACTTTAAGTTGGATCCGATACCCAATTCCCAACATCAAAGATCTTTTAGATAGGTTACAATCTGCTGTGATCTTTTCTAAATTTGATCTTAAATCTGGATATTACCAGGTACAAATCACCGAAGAAGACAGGTACAAAACAGCCTTTTGTGTACCTTTTGGACAGTATGAATGGACAGTAATGCCATTTGGATTAAAAAATGCCCCTTCAGAATTTCAACATATTTTGAATGACATATTTAATCCTTTTACTGAATTTTCTATTGTTTATATTGATGATATCTTCATATTCTCAAAATCAATCGATCAGCATTATAAACACTTGAAAATTTTCAAAGATATCATTTACCGAAGTGGTTTAGTAGTTTCTGCTCCTAAACTAAAATTGTTTTTAACAAAGGTCAGATTTCTTGGTCATGAAATTTGTGATGGGAAAATTAGACCTATTGATCGCAGTATTGAGTTTGCCTCTAAATTTCCAGATGAAATCAAGGATAAAACTCAACTTCAAAGATTTTTGGGTAGCTTGAATTATATTCGAAGTCACTACAAAAATCTTGCACAGGATACAGCAATTTTGTACACCAGGTTAAGGAAATC